GTTCATTGAGAATAGGTCTTTCACATGTAGCATACTACAGACAGAAACATTATTATGAATTAAGTAATTTTGGAATGAAAACTATTTTAAAAAATTTAAAATTGAATTTGGCAAAATTTTCTAAATATTCATTGCAATTCAAATTAATTCGGATTTTAATGTTTTGGATAAAATTTTAATTTGTTCCCAGAAAAAGCGTGGATTTGCTGCTTTCGAAATACAGTGAGCTGAGAAGCACATTTATTTCTTTCAAAACCTTGCCTTATCAGTCTGTTTGGAAATCAGGCAAGTTGCATTTATACAGCACCTTTAAAGATGCAAACCAGGAGCAGTGATATGGTTGATCTTAAGTTGATGTATGGTGGAAGATTCAAGTCCAGCTGGGATGGTATGGGAATGGGTGAGTGTGGAGTAGCAACATGTTGGATGAGGGCTCTGTTAGATAGGGAGATGGATGGAGTCAGTGGCTAAGGAAAGGTGATTGTGGTGGGGTCAAAGACAATGGTTTCAATCTTCAGAATTGTCAGTTATAATTTTATCGACATTGTGAAAATGCACCGACAGGTACAAGCACAGCAGGGTAGGTATGTCAGAGGCAGTCGTTAAACTGGATCAAAGGATGGAGGAATCAACCAACACTATCAGTCCCAGGCGGTGTGTCTGGCCGTCCCCTTGGAAAGGTGGGCAGCTGTCACTCAGACTCAGGCCCAGCCCACTCAGTGCTGCTGGATATGAGCATGGATCGACACTCCATCGCTGTAGCCATTGGTGCTCAGCATCACTGAGGAGGTGAGAGTGGGACGTGGCTATTGACATCACTCCAGGTTCCCGTTCCTCTCAGGGAGACAGGATGGTGTCAGGAGGCACCCATAGAGAGGAGGAGCCTCACAGAAGATCCCTCGATGTTTCTTCTCAGGACACTCCAGTGATGTCTGGCCTCTCCATCTCCTCCCTGCCTGTGATGCCAAGCCATTGCAGAAGTTCCATCCGGTGACACTGATCCTGAATATGCCCCCAAACCCCATTTCATCTGCATCTGGGACATCCTACTCTCTCCCCCCAACATTCCCCTTCATGGACTTTGTGATTCTCCATATCGTAGCTTGGGGATAGGTATGAACTGCTTTGATCTGAGGAAAATGGCAGCAGAGACCACTACTGCATTTGTATGTTGGAGAGTGGAAGATGACACACAGCTGCCCAATTGCTCCTTGAATTGAGCCACTGGGAAGAACATTCAGGGCAACTGTTGTCCCTGTCATTAAACTCAGGGCATGGATAGATACGTGAGGCTGGATATTATAGTAATTACAAAAACATGGCTAAGGGAGGGACAGGACTGGTAGCTTAATGTGCCAGGATACAGGTGCTTTAGGCAGGAAAGAGGTGGAGGAAAGAGGGGAGGGGGAGTTGCATTTTTGAGTAAGGGCAGTATCACAGCAGTAGTCAGAGATGGAATAACTGAGGGATCATCCAGTGAGGCTTTGTGGGTGGAGCTAAGACGGGGATGGTGACGTTATTGGGGTTGTACTGTAGGCCCCAAAATAGTTAACTGGAATTAGAGGAACAAATATGCAGTGAGATTGCGGAGAGTTGCAGGAGAAATAGCATTATCATAGTGAGGGGTTTTGATTTTCCTAGACTGGGACCTCCATAGTTTTAAGGCTGAGATGGGGTGAAATTTGTTAAATGTGTTCAGGAAAGTTTCCTCAAGAGTATATAGATAGTCCTACTTGGGAAGGGGCAAGACCCAACCTACTCTTGGGGAATCGGCCTCGACAGGTGACTGAGGTAATAGTGGGGGAGCACTTTGGGACCAGTGACCACAGTGTTATTAATTTTAAAATAGTTATGGAGAAGGACAAAACTGGTCCACGGGTTCAAGTTCGAAAGTGGGGCAAGGCAAATTTGAATGGAATTAGACGAGCTTGTAGGGATTGTTGGAGTAGTTTGTTTGCAGGCAAAGAGACCTTTGGCAAGTGGGAGGCCTTTAAAACTGTGATAAGCTAAAGTTCAAGGTCTATATGTTCCTGTGAAGGCGAAGGGAAGGTTGGCAGTAGTGGAGAACCCTGAATGACAAGAGATATTGACCAGAAAAAAAGAGGAGGCATGGCTCAGGAACAGGTAGCTGGGATCAAGGGAATCGTTGGAGCTATATAGGGGATACAGGAGTTTACTGAAGAAGGAAATCAGGAGGGTGAAAAGGGGGCATGAGATAGCTTTGGCTGAGAAGAACTGGGTAAATCCAAAGAGATTCTTTAAATATATTAAAGGAAAAAGAATAACTAGAAAGATAATAGGACCCCTCAAGGACCAATGTGGACATGTATGTGTGGAACTGCAGGAGATGGGCAAGATCCTCAATAAATATTTCTCCTCTGTGTTTACCATGGAGAAAGACATGAAGACTTGGGGGAATTTGGGGAAGTTATTGGCGATATCTAGGTGACAGTCCATATCACAGTAGAGGAGGTGTTGGAAGTATTAGAATGTATGAACGTGGATAAATCTCCTGGTCCTGATCAGATATATCCAAGAGCCTTGCAAGATGCTAGAGGAGAAATTGCACAGGCCCTGGGTGATATATTTGCATCATCGTTAGCCTCAGGTGAGATCCTGGAAGACTGGAGGGTAGCGAATGTTGTGCCTTTATTCAAGATGGGCTGCAAAGAAAAACTGGGAATTATAGACCAGTAAACTTAACATGTGTGGTCGGTAAGTTACTTGAGAAGATTCTGAGGGACAAGGCACACATGCATTTAGAAAGACAGGGTTCGATTAGCTATAGTTAGCATGGCTTCGTATGTGGGAGATCATACCTCACAAATTTGTTAGAGTTCTTTGATGAAGCAACCAGGAAGTTTAATGGGGGCAGGGAAATAGTCTATGTGGGTTTCAGCATGGCATTTGATAACGTTCCACATGGTAGGCTGCTCTGGAAGGTTAGATCCAGGGAGAGTTGGCAAATTGGATACACAATTGGCTTGATGACAGGGAGCAGAGAGGAATAGCAGAAGAATGCTTGTTGGACTGGAGGCCTGTGACTACCGGTGTGCCTCAGGGGTCGGTGTTGGGCCCATAGCTATTTGTTATCTAAATCATTGATTTTGGATGAGAATGTACAAGGCATGATTAATAAGTTTGCGGATGACACTAAAATGGGCAGTATCGTGGACAGTGAGGAAGGTTATCAGAAATTGCAGCAGAATCTTTAGCAGCTGGGGCAGTGGTCCAAGAAATGGCAAATAGAGTTTAAGAAAGATAAGGGTGAGGTGTTGCATTTTGGAAAATCAAATGAAGGTAGGAGTTTCATGGTGAATGATAGGGCGTTAAGGAGCGTGGTGGAACAGAGTGACCTTAGAGATCAAGTGCACGGGTCTCTGAAAGTGGAACTGTAGACAGGGCAGTGAAGAAGGCTTTTGGGACACTGGCCTTCATCAGTCAGGGCATTGAATATAGAAGTTGGGAAGTTATGTTGCAGTTGTACAGGACATTGGTGAGGCTGCACATGGAGTATTGTGTTCAGTTTTGGTCACCTTGCTATAGGAAGGATGTTATTAAACTGGAAAGAGTGCCGATGAAATTTACAAGGATGTTGCCAGGACTCAAGGGACTGACATATAGGGATAGGTTGGACAAGCTCGGACTTTTTTTATAAAGCATAGGAGTCTGAGGAGGGATCACACAGAAGTGTATAAGATCATGAGAGGCGTGGTTAGGGTGAATGCATTCAGTCTTTTTCTGAGTGTTGGGGAAATGTGGATGAGAGGGCATCAGTTTAAGGTAAGAGGGGAGAACCTGAGAGGCAACTTTTGTACACAGAGGGTGATATACAGATGGAATGAGCTGCCAGCGGAAGTGGTTGAGGCGGGTACGTTAACAACATTTAAAAGGCATTTGGACGAATACATGGATAGGAAAGGTTGAGAAGGATATGGGCCAAGTGCAGGGAAATGGGATTAGTGTGGATGGATATTTTGGGCGGCATGGACCCATTTGGACTGAAGGGCCTGTCTCTGTACTGTAGAACTCTATGGCTGTATGACTCTATGTTATAACACCATTAGGATGTCTGAAATCCTCATCCACATGTAATCTGCACAACCAAAGACATCGAGCTTCATTGTGGGTGTAGAATTCTGGCAGTAAGTCACTGTGATAGACACCCCACTCCCAATGAAGAGGCCCTCTTGCACATTGCAGACTATCTCCTCTCAGACCTACAATCCAGTGTGTGAATGGGGC